AAGCCCCCCACTCTCGAGTCGATGTGGGGCCATGTCGAAATGGATGACAGATCGTGTGTAACCATACCTCAGTGGGTAACCGTAGTTTACCCATAAATTAAAGATGGTGGTTGTAATTACCCAAACATGGTGGTTTTTCTTTTTATAATTTAACCATACCTCAGTGGGTAACCGTAGTTTACCCATAAATTAAAGATCTTTTTTCTCAAAAAATACCAAACACTGTAAAAGAGCTTATTACTTATAAACTCTTCAACATCTTATAAGCTATTTTTTACATCTCATAACCGTAGCCGAACACTTTTTTAATTAAGTTCATTGAATAAATGAATTACAATAAATTCCTTTTACTAACTCATACTTTGTGTCCCCTTGAAGGTGTTATTAAACTTTAATGTAAAAAGTTCCAAGGTAAATAAAATAATAACAAAAAAGTAGAGGAGTTCTTTTCAATTTTCAACACAATTTGTCAAGAAAGTTAAAAAAATATATTCCTATGGGGCCCACATTGATTTCTTTCTCGAGTTGTCAATATGTGGCAAACTTTAAAGAAAAGGGACTCTTTGAGGAAACCCCCTCATTACTTTTTTTAATGGAGAGAGATCCAAAATATTTCAGTCCATTTGAGAAAAACCCATACCTATTTTGAGCTAATATGCTTTCCAGCTTTGCTCCCGCCCGCCACATCATCACTGGGCCACGTGCTCAGCAGTTATTATTATTTTTATTTTTTCCATTTTTCCGTTTTTTTCCCCTTCTTTTCTGTACCTGTTTTCTTAATCGACTATGGAGCATAGTCGATTAGCCTTAATCGACTATGTTTCATAGTCGATTAAGCAAATTCTTTATTGGTATTTTTTTTTTGTTTTTTAATTTTTGTTTCTATATCAGTATATTAATCAACTATGATGAAGCATAGTCGATCAAAAGTCTGCTACTAAAAATAACAAATCAAAACTGCAAAAAAATGCAAAATCAACTATATTTTACAAAAAAACAAAAATATAAGAACATTATAATTGATTTATACAATTGGAATTAATAAACAAAAAAACCAAAAAAAAAAAAAAAAAGAAGATTGGAGTCGATCAACCTTAATCGATACCAGAGCATAGTCGATTAAGAATCTACTACTAAAAATAACAAATCACAACTGCGAAAAAATGCAAAATCACCTATATATTACAAAAACAAAAAAATATACAAACATTATAATTGATTTATACAATTGGAATCAATAAACGAAAAATCCAAAAAAACTAAAAAAAATTGGAGCGATCAACCTTAATCGACTACCAGAACATAGTCGATTAGCTTAATCGACTATGAATATGTACATAGTCGATTAAGGTTTCAGCCTGCGCGAAATTCTCTACACGAGCCGTTATCCGTCCAATCCAACAAAAAACCCTAAATCTGCCTCCCCATCGTCATCACACCGCTGCCACAATACACTATTCAACCAATCCCTAACAAGAATAAAATAAATAAATTAAATAATTCATATAAAAAAACACAAATTAACATTTCAGTGTCCAAAAAAAAAAAAAAAAACAGAAACCATTCAGTCATCATCTTCAACGTCGTCGGTAGAAACCACCGCCGCGAACTACAGATCCATCACCACCCTTCACGCGGCGGCGGAAGGCGGTGACAAACACTCTCCACCGCCACCACCACCATCGGTCGATGTCTTGCTTTTCTTCCGAATTTCAGTCGAGAAGAGAAGAGAGAAGAGAGAAGACGAGAAGAGAGAAGACGAGAAAAGAAGAAGAGAGAACGGCAGAAGAGAGAAGACGAGAAGACGAGAAAAAAAAAGAGAGAACGACAATGGATTAGGATATTGAAGAGATTTAATATTAATAAGGGTGGTTTGAGAATTATTAAATAATATTTGGGTAGGATATTAGGTAAGGGGGATTTCTCTAATTATTTATAGAAGGGGTGTTTTCTTAACTCATTTTCCTAGATGAGGGGGTTCTTGCTAATTATCCCTAAAAAATAATTCCTCACGGAGGCGGCTTTACTTATATACGAACTAAAATTAATGACTAGTTCACCAAATTTGGATTGAATAAATAATATCTTACAATTGATATCTTGTAATATTTTATTTCTTAATTTGTTAGGTATATGTTAGAATTTCCAATTTTTTTTAAAGCATAGCCACAACTTTAAAATGATTCCTGTATTTTTTTTTAATAAATATTGTCCCTCTCCATACTAATAATTTAGTCCATAAGTAGCAACCAGCCAACAATTGCTTCGTGAGAAACAATTTGTAAAATTAGCAAGAACTACATAATTGAATGAGTATTCAAATACTAAATGATTTAAAAAATATATTTTTTAATAAATAATGTTGATAACGATATAGTGATCAGTATTCTTTTAAGAAATTGAGCCACACGAATATATTCCAAACTTTATATTATATGTGAAGATATATATTTTCAAATATATATATATATATATATATATATATATATATATATTGATGAAGCTAAAATATAGCTCACCTAGGATAGTATAGAAAACGAGCTGGGAGAGCAAAGCTGATCAGTAGCTAGTCAACTCGATGTTCCTGAGGTCCCTACAAAATGAGCACACGTGAACTAAGCCGGGGGTTGATCCGGCGGAAACCCCTCCGACGCTCAAGTCAGATGTACGGATCGTAGAGAGAGTAGAGAGAATAAACTCGAGGTTGATAGTCAAAAAATGAGAACGTACCTTTACAAATGAATAAAACTTCTATTTATATATCGTTGATTGAGTTGGGCTTATTTTGTTGGGCCCAAGCCTTACTTTGAAGGTGCTTGGGTTTTCGTGTAATGGGCCCGAATACTTTCGTGTATTGGGCCTAATTATTAAATAAATTGGGGTCCATTGGGTCGGCCCAATTAGGTATATCATTAAGCCCCCCAACTCTCGATTCGAGACGGAGACTTGTGTAGAGGGACCCGGGTCGTGTCGAGAGTTAATTGCGTCGTGGAGTGAATTGTTTCCGTTGGTGGTGAATTAATTCCTTAATTTGAATAAGGAATAATTGTATTTATTTGGCAGCGAGGTATATATTTAAGGGTTTTAAATATTATACCAGAGCCAGATAAATAGACTCCTTTTGCGGTGGAAAGGATTAAAGTTCATCTCCTTGGTAATAAATATGGGTATGTATCTTTAACTTTAGGTCTTCGTCTGTGCTCTCTTTCTTTATTTTATATCTGTAGAGTAGAAATTTTTTGTTTCTCGATTTTTGTTCGGAGAAAATTTTTTATCATGTCGAATCCGGGTAAGTCGAAATCTTTAAGAATTAAACTTCGCGAACCGGTTGAAGGGGGCGAGAAAACGTTTGGTACGGTGGGTATGGTACGCGAGAAGCGTGTAATATCCGGTGTGGAAATCGGATCTGTGGTACGTGGTGCACGGATCGAAGAGAGAAAGGGGGTGGTAAGTAGCTTGGCTGCGGGCGTTGGCTCGAGCCGCGCAGCCAGCTGCCCGGGTAAGGGGCAGAGTTCGTGCCTCGAGGGCAGCTGTGAGCCGAGCCGAGTGTCGGAGTTGGAGCTGTGCACAACGACCGAGAAGAGGAGAGAGAAGGTTTGCCGCGCGTCCGGGACAGATTTCGAGGGACGCGCGCGCGCGTCTGGCACGGGGACCGAGGTACGCGCGCGCGCGTCGGAGCAAGGGGTAGTTGAACGCGCGCGCGCGTCGTGCGTGGGAGAACGCGCGGAAGAGGTTGGGCGGTGCGCTGACGCGCACGTGGTCGATGCAGGGGGCGTGGGGTCTGGGGCTGACGCGCGCGCGCTACCCAATAAAGGAGCGCGTGCGCGCGCGTCTGTACAGGGGGGCGTGGGGCGTGAGTGCGCGGTCAGTGAGGGGGGTTGTGCGCGTGGAAGCGCGTCGGCTGAGGTGGCGCGCGCGCGTGTGAGCGCGTCCGGAGCTGTTTTTCGGCGCGATTCGTGCGAACGTGTTGGGCGAACTAAGGAGCGAATCTTCGTCGAAGATGATGTGAATGTAAGGCGAGAAATCATTGAATCTTGGAGTGACGATGTAGAAAGGAGTATTAATGTTCGTGAGCAAGTAGATGGAGTTGTGGCTAGTAGGCGTTATTCTCGACGTCAAATCGTGGATTTTGGGAGCGATAGTGATGATTCTAACCACGTTCCTTCGGTGAGTGATCATGCTGTGCCATGTAGTGAAGTTGAGCTGACGGATGAAGAGGAGGAGGAAGATGATATTCCGCTAGGTGATGTTGAGGTTGATAGTAGAAGGCAAAAGAAAAAGAAGCTAATTAATTTGGACTTAGTTGATTTTGACAGTGTATTGACTGAAGAGCAGTTGCATTCTATTCGTCGTTTATCTGGAGCGCCGAGTAATGTGGAGTTGTTGTTGCCTAGGAAGGGCGATCGCTTGTATTCGCCACCCGATGGGTTTCATACGGTATTTTTGGGGTATTTGATGTGCACATCTCAGATTACACCGCATCCTACCTTGTTAAAGGTTTGCGAGGAATTTAAGATTGGGTACAGTCAGCTAACGCCCACTGCTGTTCTGATGTTCCAGGCATTTCATTTTAGGGTGGTTCGAGTAGGTCTGCCTGTGTCTGTGAGTTTATTCAAGGCGTTATTTACGTTACATCGGCCCACTAAGATGCCTTTCTTTTGCTTTCATCCTCGCGTTCATTACCAATTCGTGAAGAGTGTGAAGCTATCTTTGGGGAAATGGAAGACCTATTTCTTTTACGTGAGGGCTCCCACTTTTGACGTTCCCGTAGTTTGGAATCCTACGTGTGAGAGTTTCGCGATAACTGCAAATATGGCGAAGAGGATTGAGGAATCTGGGTTGTGCGATGTGGAATTTGATCCGAGGAGTTTGATACCGACGGTGGAGGGTCAGCATCGTATATCCTTTTGTTGCCTTGAATTGTTTTTTTGTTTTTTTTTTTTTTTTTTTTTTTTTTTTTTTTTTTTTTTTTTTGGTCATGCATACCTCATGTTTTTTTTATGTGTTTGTTATCTTTTGTAGATGGTGGTATCACCTTTGCGGCACTTCGAGCGAAGGCGAATGGGACGTCGAAGAAGGCATCGAAGAAGGTTCCCTCTAAGTTGGGAGGTTCTTCGAATGGTTTGCCTCGCGAGGAAGTTCATGTAGAAAGTCCTCGAGTAGTAGCAGATGATCGTAGCAGTGCTGGCGTAGTGGAAGAGCGTCCACCGAAGAGGGATCGTGGCAAGGGAAAGAGGGTGGATACTGAGTATGTGGCTGTGCCTAAGCGTCCACGGGTAGATCCAGAGGAGACTTATGCTTTCCATGGTGGAGGAGGGAAACAATTGTTTACCTATGGTGTGAATCGCGACGGTAAGGAGTCGTATTGGGATGTGTCGGACCATGATTTGCCCTTGTTGAGTACCGAGGGATTTGTTCGGGAGTATGATCGTGCTCGGATGTCTGGTAAGGGTCCTTCTCACATGTTGGAGTTAGCCGGTGGGGACATCTGTCGGGTGAGTCTTTGTTTACTTAAAACAAGATTAGGCGTTACTCCCTCTCTTCCTTGTGTAAATTTTTTTTTTTTTTGTTTTTTTTTTTTTTTTATTTTTTTTTTATTTTTTTTTTTTTTAGTTGGTAGCGACTTGGAGATACCTCGTGGAGCACGGTAGGAATGCGGAAGCTGGTAAGGAAGAGGATCGGGCTCGAAGTCAAGCACGTGAGGATGAGCTTCTAAGTCAGTTGGAGGAAGCGCGGTCCGATCTCGCTCTACGCTCTGAAGAGCTTGCTCGGAGGACAGAGGAGCTTGCTGAGAGGACCGAGGAGCTCGAGGTTATCCGGGGTGATGCGAAGGCGTATAAGGATGATGTTCATAAGTTGAACGAGTGTTACGATCAGCTGAAAGAGAAATATGAAGCTGAGAAGGCGACGGGGAAGAGGTTCCTCGCGACATTAGGTGGTGCGGCTTATAAGGAGTCCATTGTGGAGGAGACTAAAGCTAGTTTCCGAGGTAGTGATGAGTGTGCTGCTATGATTGAGGAGCATGCGCTGGCTGTGGTTTATAAGCCATTAGTGCGTGCTTGTCGCAAATATCTGCGCGATGCGGGTGGGATCAGCGAGGAAGTGATTCGTGGGATGGAAGCTGGCATATCCGATGAAGAGGAGGAAGAGGTAGATGTCAATGGGACGGGCACAGAGCTCGTGAATGACATGGTTGCGGGTGACTCTACTGCGGGTACGTCTTCCGCTCGCGGTAGGGGAGCTTAGACTTATCTGTTAGGATAGCTAACTTTTCCCTTTTATTTTTTATTGCTATTATTTTTTTTATGGATTTCGTATTTTCTTTTTATCGCTGATGTAGTTGGGTATGTCCACTACTATTTTATTTGAATTTCTTCCTCGTTTGACTTTGAAGTATAAGATTTCGATTTATTTATTTTGACATTGTCAAGAATTAATGCGTTGCTTCTATGTGTTTACATTAGCATTATACGCGATGTACTTGAGGAGGGGATCAGTCTCCCAAGGTTTTTGTTAGGGGTCGTGCCCTTTGTTTTTGACCACTTGGGTCTATAATATTTTTGTCCGTGGCCACGTTTTAAAAGTAGCACCTCGTGAAACAGTTAAAGGGACTTAGCTAATCCAGCTGGCCAGGCTATACGGATTATCCAAATCACTCTAAGTGTTTGTAGGGTGGTATTGATTTGAACTCATGGTAAGAGGTTATTTGTATAGATGTAAAGGCGTAGATAGTAAAGCGAAAAATATTATTTATTCAACGATAGCATAGGAGAATTGTTACATGCCTATGTGAGGCGAATGTAAGTAAATGACTAATGCGATGGGCCTACATGAGGCAAAGGTAAATAACTACTGGTGGAGCGAGAAAGAAAAAAAAAAATTGACTTGATAAAAATTGTTCTAAGTGATTGTACTACACTTGTTCTTCTTCTTCCACGTCTTGCTTGTACTCGTTCGTTTTGCTGCGTTGATGGTAAAATGAATTCCTTTGGCGTTTCTATGCCTGTCAAATATAATTGAGAAAAAAGAATTTTGTCTAAGCATTTGTATTGAAGACTTAGTAATTGAAGCTGAGGGGATGCGTATTGCGCTTTCACGTACCCTACTACGGATTTGATTTTTCTTTCTCGCACTCCAAGACATGAAATGAAGTCGTGAGTTGTCGCGAGTTGCTATGCGATCGTGCCTGCTAGTGGGATTATTTTGTCACGTTAGTAATCGTAAATGAGATTATCTGTGTGTTGAGTTCTAGTAGAAGTATATTTACCCTTGACGATGTGGTATGGAGTGTCGTCGAGCAAGCAGCGCATTGATTGCTTAATATACATCCTCACGTAGTAGGTTCTCGACCTGTAAGGAGACGATGAGATGTGATTATGAATTTCTGATGTAAGTAGCAATTACTAGCCCCCCAGTTTAGGAGGGACATTAACGCACCTTGTTATGTGGTGCCGAATTTCCAACCATGTCTAAGCAGCTTTACAAGACGAGTGACGTGGAAGGTTGTGGAGCCTGCATGGGTGAAAATTTGTAAGTAATTTTTCTTTAGTAGAGATATGGGTGATGATCTCAAATGATCAGAAGTAAGGTAGATGTATACCTTAGGCGTAGAACCGTTTGAGGTTCCCTATATTCCATGTTCTGGGTATAGGGTGTCCGTCAATGTTCTCGAGGCGATATGCTCCAGTGTTGACCACCTTTGTGATTTTATACGGTCCTTCCCACTTTGGGTCGAGCTTTCCGATGGGGTGGGAGGCTTCAGCTTTTCGGAGGACTAAATCTCCGACTTGAAAGGAGCGAGGGCGGACCTTTGAGTTATATGCCTTGGCCATGCGTGATTTATACATCTGTTGTCGGATGTATGCGATCTCACGTAACTCATCTATGAGGTCTAGGTTTCCCCGCATAGCCTCTTCATTAGCTGTTGGGTCATAGTTGGTGACTCGCCAAGATGGTTCTCCGATTTCGACGGGTGCGATAGCCTCCGTGCCAAAAGCTAGATTGAAAGGCGACTCTCCGGTTGCTGCGCGTGGGGTTGTGCGATAAGCCCATAGGGCGTTAGGCAATTCTTCCACCCATTTTCCTTTGGCACTTCCCAGCCTTGTCTTAAGGTGTTGGAGGATAGTGCGATTTGTAACCTCCGTCTGGCCGTTAGCTTGTGGATTTGCTACCGATGTGAAGAGCTGCTTGATGTTCAAGCCGAGGCACCAATTTTTTACCTTGTCACCGCAAAATTGAGTTCCATTATCCGAGATGATGGAACGCGGGATTCCGAAGCGGCACACGATGTTCTTCCATAGAAATTGGATGACTTCTTCTTCTCGGATGCGTGCCAAGGGTTCAGCCTCCACCCATTTGGTGAAGTAGTCCACTGCTACAATGAGGTATTTGCGTCCTCCTGTGGCGGGCGGGAATGGTCCAACCAAATCCATCCCCCATTGGGCGAAAGGGATGGGGCTGTCAATTGGTTGCATTAACGCCGCTGGCATGTGAGTGATATTGGCATGCTCTTGGCATGGCTTACACCTCCGGACTAACCTTTTCGCATCTTCATGCATCGTTGGCCAATAGTAGCCCTGCCTCAGTAGTTTGAGAGCTAAGGTTCTCCCGCTCAAGTGATTGCCGCAGATGCCTTCGTGTACTTCTCTAAGTACATAATCCGCCGTGGTTGGGTCGAGGCACTTAAGGTAGGGGAATGAGAACCCTCGTTTGTACAACTCTTCTCCCACTATGACGAATCGTGCGGCTCTCGTTTTTAACTTTCGTGCTTCGGTGGGATCCGTTGGAAGTTCTCCTTTTTTGAGATACTTCAGGATTGGAGTGAACCAGCATGGTTCATCCTCCTCGGTGTATTGTACTTCAGTGGGTGAAGTTATCTCCGGCTGAGGTGATGTGAGGAGCGTCACCTTCCGACTTCCGATGCTAGCCATGGAGCTTCCTAGTCTAGCTAACTTGTCAGCGTGGATATTGCTGGAGCGGGGTACTTGTATTATCTCGTAACTCTCGAATTTGGATAGGAGAGTGTGTGCGAGAGCTAAATATTTCGCCATGGTGTCTTCTTTGGCCTCGTAAACTCCGAGTACTTGGTTAACGACGAGTTGAGAGTCGCTTTGGATTAGGAGCTTGCGCACTCCAGCTGCTAGGGCGAGGCGGATTCCCGCTATCAGGGCCTCGTACTCAGCGACGTTGTTTGAGGTTGTGAATTCGAATCGTTGAGCATATTCGAACTCATCTCCATCAGGGTTCGTTAGGACGATACCCGCTCCCCCTCCTGTGGCAGTGGACGATCCATCGACGCTGACGGACCAAGTTGGAAGAGAGGTACTTTCTTCTACGGAGGTCATTTCAACTAGAAAATCTGCCAATACTTGCGCTTTGATAGCCGGGCGGGGTTTGAATTCGACCCCGTATTCGCTTAGCTCTATCGCCCATTTCGCTAATCGCCCGGATGTCTCAGGACTTCTTAGTATTTGCTTCAGAGGATAATTGGTGAGAACCACCACTTGATGCGACTGGAAGTAAGGTCGAAGCTTCCGAGCTGCGTTGATGAGGGCGAGAGCGAGTTTCTCCATGTTGGTGTAGCGTTGTTCGGCTCCTTGGAGGGCGCGACTTATGTAGTATATGGGTTGGTGGCCTTTTCCTCCATCTCGGATGAGGACTGCGCTGATGGCATTAGCTGAGGTAGCTAAGTACAGTAGGAGGGTGTCTCCTGGGTGAGGTTTTGTGAGTAGGGGTGGGGATGCTAGGTACGACTTTAGCTCTGTGAATGCCTTTTGACATGCCTCATCCCACTCAAATTTCTTTCCTCCCCTTAAGATTTTGAAGAAGGGTAGGGCCTTGTCCGCTGATCGAGAAATGAATCTATTCAAAGATGCCAAACAACCGTTAAGCTGTTGGACTTTTTTGATGGATGTTGGTGGAGGCATGGAGGTAATTGCTTCGATTTTTGCGGGATTAGCTTCGATCCCTCGCTGTGAAATCATGTATCCTAAAAATTTACCACCTCGAACTCCGAACGAGCATTTGAGGGGGTTGAGTTTCATTTTGTATTTTCGCAAGGTAGTGAAGCACTGATCCAGATCGGTTAGGTGATCTGAGGTTTTGACGCTTTTGACGAGCATGTCGTCGATGTACACCTCCATATTTTTACCGATCTGATCTGCGAACATTGTGTTCACTAGACGTTGGTATGTGGCTCCTGCGTTTTTTAATCCAAAGGGCATGACTTGATAGCAGTAGATGCCTTGGTCAGTGATGAAACTAGCCCTCTCTTGATCCTCTGGCGCAAGTAAGATCTGGTTATATCCTTGGTATGCATCGAGGAAGCTGAGGAGCTCACACCCCGAGGTCGAATCGATGAGCTGATCGATTCTGGGTAGAGGAAATGGGTCCTTGGGACAAGCTTTGTTGAGGTCAGTGAAATCCACGCATAACCTCCACTTTCCCCCAGGTTTGGGAACGAGTACCACATTCGACAACCATTCAGGATACTGAACTGGTCGTATATGACCCGCGTCTAGAAGTTTAGCCACTTCTGCCTTGATATGCTTGTTGCGTTCGGGTCCAAACGTTCGTTTCCTCTGTTTGACTGGCTTCATCCTCTTGTCGACGTTAAGCCGATGTAGGGCTACCTGAGGGGGAATGCCCGACAAATCTTGGGCTTTCCATGCGAACACATCT